AAATGTGAGTGATCAACATGGTGGCACTGAGGAAGAGGAAGACATAGAGAGGTACATGGGAGGTGCAGACAACAAAGATGAACTCTTTTGCATATATAGTACTGTGTTGTCAGTGAAGGCAAACATGGTTATACGGGTGGATAGATGGGTGGACAGGATGAACTATTAGGCATGTCTATGCATCGGGGAGTGTATCCAAGACCATGTGTAAGGTTGGGAAACAACAAGTGTATTTGTATGTTCTGTAAGAATTCCCAGGTGTATAGTAGAGCTGACAAGGGACAACGTTGTAGTCACTTTTTGGCCACAGCCAGCTACCCAGAGAGAGTGAGCAGTTGAACCTGTGAGCTCGGGACCATAGTTGCAGGGGATATCAAGCTCAATTCACATACCATACTACACCAAACATTGTTCCACATCCTACTTGGACGAGTAGCAACTGGGATATTAACAGCTTGCAAGCATCCATCTAGATGCAATGATGGGTCTCTCCTCATCCAGAGCAAAGAGTAATGAAGAAAACCAAAGATACATGGAAACAATTCTTCCAAGCGACTGGTACCCCATGCGATCCTCAGCCTATGCGACTATGAGACCAGAAGAACTAGATGGTGCCTGGCTACCACTGTCAATAACTTGGAGGGGGATCTATGTAGGAGATCCTGGATCTCCAGATTTCATTCTTTCCTGAGTGGTTGGCATTGGTAGCGGGGCACCATCTAGTTCTTCTGGTCTTAAGGGCCATCATGTCCTATGGCTGATTGCTTCCAATGCCCTTGGTTGTTTTGTTTTGTTTTGTTTTTTGCTTTCTTCTTCATTTCCGATGCTAGGAGACCATTAGCTGCATCTTAGATGGCCGCTTGAAAGCTTTTAAGACTCCAGTCGCTACTCACCAATGTAGGATGCAGGGCTTTTATGTATTTTGTTGTGCCAATTGAGTCTGGTGTCCCCCAGTACTATGCTCCTTAGTCTGCAGATCCATTGGATCTCTCTCCCATAGTGTCTGGTTGTCTGTGAGGGATTACTCTGTGTCTGTCTTCTGTTTCTGTAAGGACTGTTTCTGTAAGGACTGCAGGTTATTTTGTATCAAAGGTGTCTGTACAAGATTAGCCTCAGCTGAATCTATCCTTGGTCTAGAGTATACTTCTGTTCACTGACTCCCGTCTGATCATCTCAGTTGATTATGTGTTTATCTGTATAGCCTAGTGTTTGATGTTAATGGCAATGTGGTATTGTGGACACATTGGTTGGTATTAGCATCTGTCATCTCTTAGGTGCACAATTCGGTGTCCTCCCATTTCCTAATGTTATCATGGTGCACAGATCCTTCCCATATATCCCTCCCCCTACCCATGTCAGTGTGTACACATTTTATAATGGTGAAAAAGGTCACTGTAAATTTTACATAGCTTATGATTTAAAATAAGTTAGAGTGAAAGAAAGAGGGGAAAAATGCTTTACTCTTAAAGAATTAATGCAGCTAAACTGCCACTGTTTCAAAGTGCCACAGAGATGTTATTCTGCTAGATGTGGATATAGGCTATTAGGAAAACTGAAATCGGGAGATGAAACTTAAGCCTTTGCTAGCCAAAATAATTACCGTATATATAAATAAATATCAAAGCATACAAATAATATTAAGCTTTGATAACACTTGTATTTTTACCCAGGAAGGACAAAACACGAAGTTTTCAATATTCTTAAAATTACATCCACAATGGTAAATTATTGCTACTGGGTTAAACTATTCTGTTTTGCCTACCAAGCAAGAAAGCAAGCAAACGTTCTAACTGCACCACATGTATGAAACTGACTGAAAAGTATACTTTATCATTAATATAAAACGTAGATAACATTCGTAAACGTTCTATAAAATTTGCCCATGTAAAAAAAGAAAGGAGACCTATATATGAAGAAAATGTTATGTTTATTGATGATATTCATTTGAAAAAACAAGGTAAACATTACAGATAAACTTATCAAAAACAATTCTTATGAATAGGCTTTTAATATGTTTAATATGACCCAACATAGTAACAGAATGAACTATTAGTAAAATTTAAGGCAAAAAAGGTCTGATTTACTTCAAAATTCAATAGGATTACCTTAATAAAATGATTTTGCTCATTCAAATGTGGTTTTAAAGAAGCATTTGTATATACTTATGACTCAAACCATGGAAATCATTTTAAACACTTTAGAAAAATAAATTGTAGTTTAAAAATAAAGAACAGAAACAAAATGTAAAAGAATTGTTGAAAGGAAAATAAATCTGTTATGTAAACTTTTACATCAGCTCCCAAAAGTTCAATAAATAAGTAAATAAAAGGAAAGTAAATACTGCTAAAAAAATAAAAATAAAGGGCACTGTAAACTGTGCTATCCAATATAGTAGTGACTAGCATAAATTTTAATGAGCTAAAATGAGGTAAAAATTTTCAATGTAGATTCTCTAATTAACCATATCAGAAATGCTCAACAGCCATGAGGTAAACTGACAGAACATCTCTATCACTGTGGAAAATTCCATTGGACAAACCGAAACCGAACTAAACTCATCACTGTCAAGTTGTTCACAACTCACTGTGATTTGATATCTTGAATGTTTATTGGTAAATAAAAAGTGTTTGTTCTTTTTAGGTTTTGCTTCTTATCCACAGATTGTTTCAGATACCAAAAACCACAAATAAAATTTGAACTTGGCATATATAACTTACTTTCCATATTAGCTCTATTACCCGTAGTTTGTAAAATTATTTGTGAAACTGGATGGTAAAGCTAAAGACTACCTTAGATGAATTAATCTAAATAGCTCAGGTCAAAACCCTCTTCACCTCCATGGAAAGCTTTTGGGCTTATATTTATCTACTTTTTAAAATTGTTGAAGGCTTAGCGTAAACATAAAAGGATGTACATAGAAATACTACAGTTCTATTATGCTAAAGATAGCTAACAGATTAAATTATTTATTTAGAGAATCGTTTTTTAAAAAATCTTTTATATCTTATAAAACAATATTTACTAATACTTTAAAAGTTGAATTTTCAAAAGATGTATCATATGAAAATATGTAGCTATTCTGTAAGTTGGTCATATAGAAACATGTTAAACCATCCTGTAAGTCACAAAAATAACAAGACTTGTCAATTTTCACACAAATTATATTGTTTGACTGACGTATTTTTTACTTCCTACTGAATTTCTTTCTCTAACATATCAAAGAAAACCAAATTAACATCAGATATTTAAGACATGGGTCACAAGCAAATGGCTATAAGTAAAGTCTGAAATCTCGCAAGCAAGGGGAAAAATCGCTTTTTGAACAATAGTTATGAATGCCACAACAAATTTAAGTAAGGAGTGTTCAATGGCTTGAAAGCGGAAAGATGGCACTGTAACTGACCAAATGTTTCTTAATCAAAAATGATCAATGAGTTTATACAATATTTTCTATGGCTACAACATTAAAGAACTTTTTTAATTGCTTGAGTTGTAACATAAAATACTAATAATGACCAAAATGGAATTTAAAAAAAAAAAAAAAACCTCTCTCATAACCCTGTCTGTCCCTTAACATATTTTTTTCCTAAATGAATTTCTCATTAATAGTTGTTTCTTTTAAACATTTTAAGATTTATTTGTATGCATTCCAACTAGTAGAATCTATCCGAAAAACACAGTAAACATATCAAAACCTTCACCCAGACATTTCAGAAAGCAAAACTTCAGCAGCTAAATTTGGTCAGATTCCTATTATTCATAGGAATTAAACTGAAATTACTTCCACAGAACCAAAAAGTCTCCTGATAGGATTTTCTATGTTGATTCTGAGCATCCTTCTGTGGTAAAATGGTAGGTATCAGGAGTAATCCAAAAGAATGCTGTTCTTATCAGCAGTAAATCAAAAGAACCATTCTCTCCAAAGCTTAGGTCAAACAATGTGATGCCAATTCTATGGTTCCTGTACTGATGGTCATATGAAAAAGCCAAAACTGAGGTTTGGGTTATATGGAAACCACACCTCCTCTAGGAAGCAGCAAAGTTATTCATTTGACACACTTAGTGTCTACCTTGTGCAAGTTACTCCGCCCAGCACTACGCTCCTCCAACTAATGGCCTACATTTGCTTCACAAATACTCAGATTTCCTCTGTCACTAAGTGCTAAATATGCTACTCTCTTTCCCCATTCAAACAGCAATGAAAATGACCTTTAGGAATTTACTACCATTCCCTCAATCAGAGGTTCTTATCAATTTGCCCATGAGATAAAATATTACACATTTTCTTACTGCAATCTCACCTCCCAGTGTGGGCAGAAAGACCTTTGGCTATTTCCTCAGGTGTGAACGTAAAACTACTCAATCGCTACTACAACAGGCTAATTTTGGAGTTATAATTTGGAAACTTACAGAATGAAACAACAGCTTTTTTTAAAAATGGTATGGCTGACATTCAAGTACTTTAGTTAGTTGTGTCGGTATCTCTTGGCTCTGGCTCAGCAGAAAAGGTTGTTGGTGGAAGCAGGTGTGTTCTCTCTACGGCTCTCTTAAGGTCGTATCTAAGACTACGGAGACAGCTGTTGACAGCTGTGACACACAGCTTCCAGACGTTTCCAGCTTCTGACAGATCCAAGGCTGGGTAGGTGTCTTGGAGAAACTCTGGTGGCAAAGTCCAAAACATAAGTTAAAATCACTTCTCAAAGAAATGAATGTATTCAACCTTAACTCTACTGATGTGTCTGTGAAGTGACCATTAGACATTAACTATTTAAAACACATGGACTATAAAGGGTAATGTGAAATATCATTTTAAAATCCCAATAAAACAACAAAATCTTCCATGATCTTGCTACAGACTAGACTAGAAATCCTCTGCTGCCTTACATCCAATTTAAACTTTTCTTATTATTAAATTTATAAACATGTATCTACCAATAAAGGCATGTTAAGGGTTGGTAATAAACAAGAGGCTACAGTGTCTTTCGTACTTTTAGAGACAAGGTGGTACAACTGCTAAATTTTTTTGATCCTCCTTGGTTTATCTCTGACAAAAGAAATTAGGGTCTTCAGATCTTACAGTTAGAGGAAAACTACAAGGGAAGGTGATATAGAAACGTAAGTCAAAGAGCACTCAGAGAAAGTGGGAGGCCAGAAGGGAAAGTAAGGAAGAGAGATGTTACCAGTAGAGCAGTCACCCTTGGATAGTTTCTCAGGTAATTTCCTAAGAACCGTGAGCCCTTAGGACAAGATATGGTGATGACCAGAAGTCAGTATTTATTGACTATGTTTCTCTCACTTCTGTTTTGTGATAGGCTTAACAGGCTGGTAAATGAGGGCAATACTACAAACACAGCACATAATCTAAACATGTTAGCAAGGTACTGACGAAGTTAAAAGGCTTTCATTCAGTGGTAGCCTGGAAGCAGGTTTTAGGTGGTATGTCACTGGATTTCCGTATCAGGGTGTATCCTGCGGGACATTTTTATGTAAGTTATGGAAAGCAGGCTTGTCCCATGTGCCCATGACAGCAATGCTGGGGCAGATGACTTAATTCACTGGAAGACAAAAGCAGCATTTGCAAAGCTTTCTACAGTCTGCCACAAAGAGCCTAAATTGGTTTTTCCCAAAATGTGTTCTCTGAAACATCAGTCATACAAAAAGATTCTGTTTGGGTAAAGGAGAAATGCTATATTCTGTGGTCCTCGCCTGGGGATTTATGTTGTACATAAGTATATTAAATGCTGACAAAAGAAATCACACAGTAAAAAACCATGTAACTTCATTTCACCTATTCAAAGGCTACACATGCAGAAGCCTTAGTGGGGTCATAAATGAGGACAGTGACAGGGCATAACGCAATAGAGGGTCAGGACTGTGGACATCTGAGTGTGCTTGACCATGAAAAGACAATGAAAATTTTTTTTTAAAAAACTGAGAGCTAAATGAAACATCTATCAACTGAGGCCCTTGCATTGCCAGAGTAAGATCTGTCCTAACCATCTGACTGAAAAACACTTTCTTCAGAAAACACTTTAATAATTAGCTGTCTTTGGGGAACAGTCTGGAAAATGCTGATCTACACTAACAAAACATAGGAAGAATAAATATAAAATCCTACACTTAAATTTAAAAATGCCAACAGTATAAATAGTAACAGCCTAAATACTAACAGTATAAGCATTAGATAAATGTTAGTCTATAAAAAAAAGATCTAGGGGTCTTAGCTCACCACAAATTTAAAAATAGCAAAACCATTTTAGGCTGCCTTAACCTAAGACAGACAGGTAATAGTATTATTATATTCTGGATTAATTTGAGCACATCTAAAATTTTGCATTTTGTAGACATTCAAGTTATGTCCACCAGTCAGTGAATTCGATCATGAAGAATCAGTAAAACGTTTGTATCTGGAATTATTAAAGGAAATGGAAATATTTAGCCGTCAATGTCTAAGACTTATAAGGGAAAAGGTAGGTAGAACATTTACTTTCCAACCCTCATACGTCCCTGTGCAAGGATCTCCAAAGCGGAAAGTTTGGAAGGATTGGGGAAGTATGACACAAAAATAAAGCTGATATGTTTATCTTCACCTGCCTGATTCTAGGAGCTGTTTTTCATTTGGTTCTGACCTTG